ATCAAACAGTTGGTGTTCAAGGATAAACTCTTGATCTTCAGGTTTTACCTCAATTCACAAACAATCTTCATTCAGACATTTTATCAAACAGTTGGAGATCAAGGATAAATCCAAACTTAAACTTACCCATCGACTTCAGTGTTAAGGACATTGACTTTAACTTACGGCTTTAAGAGCTTCGAGAATATCAACAATATACTTTAAAAAAACACGGTTCCAAATATGAGTTCGTTGAAGATGCCATCAGGTTCAGATCTTAGTTCGTAACTGAAGCATCCATGGTTCTATAAGTGAGGTCGAGTTTCTACGACTACAATGAGGGCAAGAAACTGTTAGAGAAAGCAGTGAAGGGGACGAGGAGGGGGTTTCAGCGTCCTTTATTTTCTTCTGAAGATTTTTTTACATAGATGCATGTATCCATCAAGTAGTTATAACTGTTATGTAGTTATATGTTAACCATCTAACTACGCTGTAACTGTTGATCTCTCCTACAAATATATGAAACAGTTAATCTGGTGTATACATCTTTAGTTTTCTGCCTTAAGAAAGAAAGTGACTTATTGAAGTATCTCAATACTGATTTCATGAAACTTAAGGTATTAAGGGTCGAAATATAGTCTTTGGAAAATACAATATATACATGATTCAAGAATTGTCAAAGTGATTGTAACCACAAAATCTAGATTTTCAAGACGAACAACCAAATATCACCTTAGATCACCATACGGCGGGAGTCGAAAGGGTTGCATCTCCTTGCGAGGTCCTAAGGGAGCCCTCTAGTGGAAGATTTTGATTGTGAAAGCTTTTAACTCGGAGCTTTTGAGTCGGCTTTTAATTCAGAGCTTATGAGCTTGGCCTTGATCGGTTTCAACCTTATCCACAAACAATTATAACTATTGTACAATTATCTATAACTGTTTAACTATCCCGTAACCGTTGATCACTCCTATAAATATATAAAACGGTTGAAACTATATATATACTCGATTTTTTTTCTTATACTGACTTCTTATAGATTTTTTTAGTAATATGATTGCGGTTTACAGTTTTTTTTTTTTAATTTTACTAGTAAAAGACATTACTAAACCATGCAATATGTCGATTTAAACAAAAGAATACTGATTTTGTGTTACAAGATTCTTAAAGGTATTTCGTTAGAGAATATTGATTTCGTCTATCCAAACCAAACACCCCTAATATTCTACATCTAATAAAAATATACATTTTAATAATTTTAGTAAAAACATTATGATTATATTAATTAAAAGATTAGCACGAATATATCTGCATCAAACTACTACCTTTTTTTACTTTGATATTCCCCATGTTCAGGAAAAGGTTTTACTTTAATATTATAATAATAATAAATAATATTAAATAAATTAATATGGCATCTATTTGTTTTTAAAGAACGTCAAACATAGCTTATTTGGATCAGATCCCATTTTAAGACAAAGAAATAACAATAATAGGAAATTGGCATACTTTCGGATGACCAAATACTTTTCAATAACGGAAAAAGATAAGTATCCTTACTTGACGAAGACCTTACTCTTATCTATCTAGATGCATACTTTCCATGTGATATATATATCTATTCAACACCTTCTACTAATTTTCCGACCACACTTTCATCAAAAAGTCGTCTTATTTTGAACTTCGACTTAATGAATTAAGAAAACAAAATAAGTAGCTTTACCAATAGCAATTGTTTGGAAAACCGTTCAAAAAAATATCTGAATTTTTCAAGAACTAAATGAAATAAGAATCAAACGCAACTCAATTCTTTGTCCAATTGAGTTTGTCTATGATGATGTAACAATCAAATACCAATTATGCAAAGACAGATTGAGAAAGCCTCCTTTGCCGGCTGGCTTAGCTTTATGCCTGACTCTATACTTCTACGAATAATCCAGAAAAAAAAAAGTAATAAGCTGATATTAGTTGGGAGACCATCTGCTAAACCCAGGTCTATTACCGCAGTCCCTGGCTAGAACCACACCTACAAGTTTTGATCTGAAGACTACATGTTCGAATCCTGTCCTCGTCAATTTTAAATTTTATTTCGGTTCGATAAGTCCACCTACCCATATCGATTCGGTCGATTCAAAATGGGTCGGTTACACATTCTATTATTCTTTGATTTATGTGGTTTTTTATAGTGGCGTTATTGTTTTACTTCAATTTTTTATGATAAAGTGGACGGAGGCGGAGCAATAAACGGTGACCACAATGAGACGTTCAACCCCCGCCCCCACCCCTCTCTGGAAAAAGCCCCACCCTCGTCAGCCGTTAAGAGTGAAATAGCCACAAGATACTGAGGGTGGTGAGTCATATCCGTAATCCAAGCCACTCGTGTCTAGCTGGTCCCTAGAAGTTTCCACTTTTTCGCCACATCTTATCCAACCTTAACCCGCCACGTCAGCATCCCAACTTCATCCACTTGTTTTTTTATTTTATTTAATTACTCCACGATTTTAGAAAATAATAATAATAATTTATAGTTTTAAATCTCCTCCCTATGTGTATCAACGCAACTCTTACAATATTAATAATATTATTTTAATATAATATACAATTAATAAAATACTATTTTTTTTCATAAATATTAAGACAAGGTTTATATTTTTATGAAATTATATGTCGAATTAAATATTATTTTTGTTTTACAATTTAAAGGTTTAAAATAACAGCAATATATAATATTTTCAACAATGATGACTTATTGCGAATCAAACCAAATGAACCAACTAGGTAATATCACCTTTTTTTCCAAGAAAAAGAAAAAGAATAATCTCGTGTTCTTGAGTTTTGTTTAGAAAAAAAAAAAGAAATATATATATATACATATATATATATATATGTGTACATAATATATATATATATATATGTGTGTGTGTGTGTATATATATATATATATATATATATATATATATATATATATATATATGTGTGTGTGTGTATATATATATATATATATGTATATATATATATCAATTACATTTCATTTTAAAAAACATAAGTGTATATTTGTAAAAATGATATCTTTAGTTTCCTTTCTTTCTCACTCAGGAATATACAATTTTATTTTTTTTTCCTTTCTTTTTCTTTCTTTCCTTTCACTCTCAAGAACACAAATAATTTTTTTTCCCTTTTCCTCTCAATTCTCATTTCTTTTTCTTTTCCTTCCTTTTTTTTTTCTATCTTTCCAAAATTCGAGAGCACAACGTAAATACAGCATATGAAAAGGTAAAAATGTAAGCAGGTAAAATGAATGTTTACGTAAAAAGAACTTATTGTTATACAAAATACTTATCTAAACGCACGTTCAATGATGAATAAATTTACTAGTATTAGTATTATATACAAAGGGAGTTTAGAATACAAACCATATGAACCAATCTCAACCGTCTTTGTAGATAATCATAAATACTAATGATGTATATTATAAATAATATCCATTATGAATACTTACAAAATAGGTGATTATTAAAGCATCTCTAAAATTGAGAATCATAATTTAAAATCTCTAAATAAAATTACATTTTGTTCCAACATAATCTTTATTTTAGATATTTCAAGATCAATTATATTATTACATCTCGATGCGTATTTAAAAAATTTATATGAAATAATAATGATTTAATTTTATTGGTGGAAATAAATTAAAAATATTTTTTTTAATTTAAAAAATATGTTTGAAATAAAATAGAGAAGAAAATAAGATGGTATTAGATTGATAGGATATTTTAGACAAGGAAATAATATTGGTTTTTTATTAATTTAATAATACTTTTAATGAAGGGGAAAACATTTATCTTTGCTTTAAATAATAAACATACATGAGACTCTGTGTCACCCTTTAAAACCAATCTTGAACGCACCTACCCTTTCCAGTTTCCACCATTATATATCTTCAAATCCATCCGCTTCTTCAAACCCTCCTTCTCATTTCCAACTTTCTCTCTCTAAACTCCCTTTCACAATCCCCTTTTTTCGTCTCTCTTCAAACCCTAATCACCAATATGGAACTTGCAGAGATTAACCTCATAGGCGATTTCGAAGCCGGAATGAAATGCTTACAAAACCCATCTTTACTTTCTAAACTTTCTTTAATCGATAAAATTCCTCAATTGTGTAGCTTCTGGACATGGGGTGCTTTGATTCTTGCTGTTTTTGCTACCTTCACTAGTGTATTTAATAGAATTAAGCTGTGTTTATATCAGATCCGTCTCAAATTATTAACTTCTTGTCAGAAATCTTGCCCCCAACAAATTTTTGGCGATGATGATTTTGACTTTTCCGATGACGACGCCGACGATGATACGCCGTCTTCGGTGGCTGAGTCCGATGATGATCAAGATTTGGATTCTGAGGACGATCGTGTCGATGAAGTTTTCCGGGCTGAGGGTTCTAGTTATTGGGGGAATAACAGAGGATCTGATGGTAATTTCACTCTCCGGCGGCGAAACGGGTTTTCCTGGTCGGATTTTTCTGCCGGAAAGAGTGTTGTACAGCTGTGGGATAGTTTCGGTTTAGGTTTAGATTTTGAAGACGATGAATCTGAGTACGGAAGTGAAATCGCCATCTGGGATTTGGATCGGGATGTGAAAATTAGCTCCGGCAGACGGTGCCAGGTTGCGGCGGCGGCGGAGAATGTAGTATTGACGGCGGAGATGAATGATAGTAACGGCGGAGTAGGTTTTGGTACATATGATTCAAGGGTGGACGGCAAGTCTCCGGCTATCTACGCTGCGTGGCGGCCACGGCAGCGGAAAATTTAGTCGGACAACGGAGGCGTTACCGGCGGTCAGAAGTCGGAATGAACGCATGATTGTTGCGATCTCTGTTGTTCATCTGTAAAAAAGGACGACACGGTCCACCTTATAATGAATGAAACGCTGTCGTTCCTCATATTGCTTCATTCTTAATTTTCTTTTATTTATGGAAATAATTTGTTTCTTATTTATCGAATAGATTTATTTTTTACCTTTTATTTTTAAAAATAAATATAATGTTTAATAGTTAATTAAATATTTAAGATGTATTTTGTAAAAATATAACAATACAACTATGTTATAAAAAAAATCATAAAATTAAAGCATTTATTTATTTAGATGCGTAAACCAGTTTGTTTATTATTAAAGTATTGTAGACTTGATGGAGACTCAATTAAAAACCAAGATGTCAAGTTGGTCTCCAAAGTAACACATTTACTTGCACCATGACCCACAGAAACAACCTAATAGCGTCTCAACTTAAAACAATACCTAATATGATAGCTTAAATCTTGAAAAGTAGAAGACTGAAATAACATCGTTTAATATAAAGAGCCTCTAAATCTGATAAAAAATATGTCATAATGAGTAAAGTTTCATGATACTAAATTCCCTCGCTAAATATAAAGTGATTATGTCAAAATAGTGAAAATATTGAACCGAGGACCCAAAATCATTCCCCCCATAATCTGTCGTGCAAGTTTTGCCTTGCATTTGGAACAATTGCGTAAGTATGTTGCACAATCATGTGAGTTTGTGAAGGGTGTTGACATGACCATGTGATGTGAGGGTAAACGTGTGTGATTTTCGACATCTAGGCTTACTCATGTCATGTACAAATGGTATATATGTTTCATATCAATATGAGATTTTTAGTAAGCTTAATACAAGTAACTATAAAACATAGTTGACGTATAAGATGCATTGTCTATGTATGACAAGTACATGTGAGTTAATGTATACCATGTGTTATTTGTTTTCAACTTATCGAACATGTCAATGTCCTCAATTTGTGAATGTGTTGTAAGCGTGATTAATATGCTCCCCTGCAGTTAGGACCTACACAACTCACGTCATATAGTGACTCATGGCTCACATTAAAACGACGAAAATTGACAATGATCGGTATGAGTTACCTTGTGAGTATAACGTTGTAGGTACATGCATATTGGTTTTGCATAAAAGTTGCATTATGTATATTCCGCAAGTATATTTTCGAGAATCTTATAATATTGTTATCATTGCGAGCTTATACATTTTGAACGATATGTGTAGTAATGTTGAATTGTTGAGTTTGAAACCATTGATTCATTACGCTTGTAAGCTAACTGTTAACGTGAAACTCATCAGTAGGAAAGTCACATATGTACAAAGACTATAAAAAAACCTAGTTGTAACCTAGACTCAAGTAATGTCGAAGATTATGCTTTGGGTTGGTTTTATTCATGTTAAGTACATTGTTGTTTAGACTTAGAGATTTATCTAAGTCACTGGACGTTATTTGTGTTATATCTGTAGGCGATATTATATATATATATATATATATATATAAATACATAAAAGTTGTAGCGATGTTTCATTGAAGTTTATCCTTTCGTTAAGTTCATCAAGACATCAGATTTTATGATAAAATTAAAAAGAATGTAATAATCACAAATATTATAAAAACGAAATAAATAAATAATAACCACAAGGGTGGTGCCTGATTGGTTTGAACTTGGCTCCAAAGGTCAAAAGTACCAAGAGGTCTCATATTCAAATCCAAGGAGGAATAAAAATCTCCTTGTGGCCACGGAGGTTCAAATACATTGACTCCGGACTATCTGCAAAATAGGTGGTTGCCCTGAGATTAATCGACTTGCATAACGGGTTGGATATACAGGTTAATCAAAATAATAATAATAATAAAAACAATTAAAAATGAAAAGCATAATTGAATTATTTGAGAAAACAAGAGCGGGTGAGAAACTAGCAATTGCAATTAGTAGTTTGGTGGGAACTTGAATGGTGTAGGTCAAGCTTCCTAATTTTGGTTGGTTTCCCTTCCTCTCTTCTCTCTTAAGCTTGCTTTATTTTAATGCAAGAACAATTATTTTATTAATAATAATACTAATAAATATAAAACAAGATTAAGTATTTAAATATTTGATTATATACAAATTAAGTCAAAAACCATGAATGGGTTCTGTTTTATAGACAAATTATCTCATGGACAGACCTGGTAAAGGGCAGACAGTGGCACGCCCGTCATTTCCTTTTTTAGTGAAAAAGAATTTACGATTCTTAAAGGTGTCAGCATATTGATTAGAGGTAAGTATTATCTTCAGGGATGAAAATAGTAACGAATTAAAAACTATAGGGATGAAATTCATAATTTTAAAACCATAGGGACGAAATTCATAATTTTTAACAAACCATATAAAAAAATGTAATTTACTAGGAATTAACTAATATAAAATTTTATCAACATAAAACAACCTCAAAATAAATGGTTTTGCACTAATTCCATGCAATTATTGATTTAGATGGCCTACCTTGCAAAATGGTGAAAATTGTAATCTAAAAGAATATTATTATTAACATAAAATGACATGCTTTGAAAACAATTTTATTTTATTAAACTGGATATCCAAAACTCATTATACGAGCCGACTAATCCCAGGACGATCACATGTTTTGCAGATAGTCCGAAGTAACCGCATTTGAACCTCTTTGGAGGAATAAAAATCATCTTGCGGTCACGGATGTTTAAATGCGGTGAATCCAAGCTACACGCAAAACAGATAGTCGTACTGAGATTCGTCGGCTTGCGTAGCGGGTTGGATATCCAGGTAAATATAAAAAAAATTGTTATTAAACTTGAAAACAAAAATTACAAAGTTGGTAATGTTAAAAGGTCGGTATTTTATGGCCAAATACCTAAAATTTGTAAGATTTTGAAATTCAGTTGAAGAATATAAACAGACAACTCAATTAACGACCTATTTATTCATTAATAATTAATTTTGGAGTCGATGGATGTTATAACTTAACGACCTATTTATTCATTAATAATTAATTATGCTAACATATTACTAAACTAATCAAGTTTTGTTAATATAATCTTTTATTTGAAGTATTAAATGTGTATTTTATTTATTAATTTTTATATCAAGTCAAATGTTGTAGAAGTATGTATATTGGAGTGAGTTATAATCTTGGTTTTTGTGGTAATCAAGTCAAACTAGCTAATATTACTGCAAAACTTATAACATCAAATGTAGTTTAAGTATTTATTATATCACTTATATATACATAGAATATAAATATTGACTTAATGATGTGCTTTCATTTGATTTTAGTATTCTTTGAATCATTATTTATGGTGTTGGACGTGACGTTATAAATATAAATACGATCCCGAGTTTCCAGACACATCGCACTTTCACTCGGGTCGAGGCTTTTACATTTTTTTTCTTAAATTAACATAACTTTTTACACAAATTTAACAAAAAAATTGAAATATAAAACTTAAATGAAATCAAATCAAATCCCTAAAAATAAAGAATTTGTGTTGCTTATTTTCAGTAGAAGTGATGATGAAGGTAAGCATGTACGTGGCAACTATTTGCCCCACCAACAAGATTGATCAATCAATTAACAAATGTTACTTATACGTCTCTTATCCCATTTTGCAAATAGAAAGATGATGATGATGATGATGTTACGATAGTAATTAAAAAAATAAACGAGAAATATATAGAATTTGACCATATTTCTAGTTGTACATAATAATCTACGAAAACATTGCGAGTGATGGACGACTGGACGTGTGAAGATAACTCAATTCTTAAGTTTAACTCCCCAATTAGGCTCCTTCATCGTCTCCAGCGTTGCTTCGTCTACAATCTTTGACTCGGGTGTTGGAACTTGTAAGGTTTGCTTCATTTTGGTGCCCACCATATGAATCATTTGAACACTGAAAGAAGATGATGCCTATTTCAATTTATCGAGTTTGTTTATGGTTTGCTGTGATAAGAATCAAAATCGAAAGAAAACCCAAGCCCGAGAAGAGTTTGATGGTGTGGAAGGTAAAGTAAAAAAAATGGTGTGTAATTAGAGATTGAGAGAGATATAAGGTGTGGTGGTTTGTTTGTAAGCCGTCGGTTGTGGTGGATCAAGTGGTGTGTTAGTAACACCCTAAATAAAAACTTCAATATATAAATAAAATAAAAATAAAATAAAATTTAACGGATACTAGGACTTGATATAGAAATCACCCAAAAATGGGGGTAAAGGTGTAGCGTTTACAAAACAATAACTGAGAAGATAAATAACAACCTACTAATCTAGATTAATTCTATGTCTAGATTAAAGACGGGTGTTTCTATCAAACTCCAAAAATACCATGACATCAAAAGAACACAACGCTCAACAATAACAAAGGCTAAAACTACAAAAGAGCCCTTAACGAACCGACGCCCCTCTCAACACTTTTTAGTCCCGCTGCTAAAGGAACCTGATAAACAAGCCACAGCAAGAAGAAGTGTTAGGCTTACGCCTAGTGAGTCCAACAAAAGCATTTTTACGTAAACATAACGGAACGTATATATATAATTATGCATGCAAGTAGATATCGAAATTTTAACTTATCGGAAAGGGACAGTTAGACCTGAACAACTCGCGGTGGAACAACAAACCATCCGAAGATGACGGGGGAGACCCGATTTGCCGCTAATTATGACAGACACAAAGTAAGTCATAGATTAACGTTATAGAGCATCACTCCCGGTATAAAACCATCCGACATCAACCTAAACCAGTCATGTAGTCGTTCGTGATCATAAGCTCTTTACCTCGGAAATTACATAATAATCACAATGCCTATTTCCGAGTGGGAGTGAGAAGGTGATTTGGAATTTACATAATAATCACAATGCCTAAAACCAACTTATACCATCCTTCACCCAAATACAATGAAACAACCCCGAACCCATAAACTCAACACCTTAAAGTGCTAACCTTGAATACGTACCCATAGCATATTAGCCCTTATTTATCGGTATGATTTTGCACGTGTCAAGATTCAACGAAAAGTGTCCAATTTATCATTAAAGGATTTCAACCTAAGAACGATAGGATTTAGAAATTTAGTGGCCGACAACGTTTTGTTAAGAGTGACTCACCGTGTGATTTCAAGCTATGTACTCAAACTCAACCGATCACAAAATTGGGACTACTCAAGCTCACTCTTTAGACCTATAAGTTTTTGTTTCATTTATCAAGTAAGCACATGGAATTTAGTCGAAAGGTAAGCAAGATACTCCATTTTAATTAGTATGAGATTTCCCAAAAATTGATCAAAATGAACTCACCTGCTGCTGCTGAGAGACGAAGGTTTGAAGGGCACAACAGCCCTTCTTCCTGTTGTGGCTGCTGCTGTCGAAGGGAAAAGAAACAGAAAAAGCGCAGCCTACACTTGTTGCTGCTGCTGTTGCTGTCGGGTGTAACACAGGGCAGAAAACGCAGCTAAACTCGCTGCTGTTGCTGTTGCTGTTAACCGAGGAAAGACGCAGCCGGTTTTAGAGTGGCAGAGGACGGCAAAACAGCACAGCAGACTTGCTGTTTGCTGTTTGGAAGGTAGGCTATCACGAACGCGTCCTTGCTGCTGCTGGATGGTTGCTTAGTGCGGACAAACACGCAGCTCTTGCTGCTGTTTTGGCATGACGACGAGGCACCTAGCAAGACAGCAGTAACTGCTGCTTGTTGCTGTTGCTTGGACGATGGCTCGAGAAGAGGAAAAATACCACAAAACAACACAGCTAGGCTGCTGTGTTTGGGGCTGCTGGTTCTGGTGTAGAAAACGCAGGGAAAACAGCTCCTGCTGTCGGCTGTTCGAACAGAAGACACTAAAAATCACGGCTTCTTGCTGTTTGCTGTTTGAGCAGGGGGCACCAAGAGAACCCAGACTCTCTTTTCCTTTCTTCTTACTTTTCTTCTTTCTTTTCTTCTTTCTTTTTCTTGCTGTCCAGTCCCCCTCCCTTCTCTTTCAAATTCCTCTTAACCCAGAGAACAAAGAGGTAAAGACTCTAGTGTAGAAGGAGGCATCATTTCCAAGGAGAAGGTAGTGGTTAGACCCCCCCCTTCCCCTACTCTTACACAAATCATCAATACCAATCAGTCAAAATAAAAGTAAAAGTACATATATATAAATAAATATATATACCCTTTTTGAAAGACCAAAAAGAAAACTTGCTCAAGGTTATAAAAATAAAACGTGAAACTAACAGACGAGGCGAGAACTCTTGAGGCTAACAGAGAGAGGAATGGGGAAAATTACCGGTGTTACAATCATCCCCACCTTGGATCAATTTCGTCCTCGAAATTCTTAATTCACGCGAATAGGCGAGGGTAACGCCTCTTCATGTCCTCTTCCGCTTCCCATGTCACGTTTGACCCTCGATGATGCTTCCATTTCACCTTAATCATTACAACTTCCTTGTGCCTCAACACCTTGGTCTTACTTTCCAATATGGCTTCTGGTTCTTCCACACATCGGTTGTTCTCATCCACACGAATTTCTGAAAGTGGTATCACACTATCTTCTTCTGCCAAGCACTTACGAAGGTAGCATACATGAAATGTGTGGTGAATTCCGGCCATTTCAGGTGGTAGTTCCAATCTGTAAGCTTGAAGTCCCACACGAGCCAAAACTTTAAATGGTCCGAGAAAACGGGGGCTGAGCTTCCCGCGCTTTCCAAAACGGATAATGCCTTTCCAAGGGGATACCTTAAGCATAACACGGTCGCCCACTAGGAATTCTATAGGTCGGGTCCTCTTGTCTGCATAACTCTTTTGGCGATCTTGCGCCGCCTTTAAACGTTCCCGAATACACTTCACCTTATCGGCCGTATCTTGCACGATCTCAGGACCGGCGAACTGTTTCTCACCCGCCTCAAGCCAACACACAGGGGTCCTACATTTTCGACCATACAAAGCTTCGAAAGGCGCCATCCCGATACTAGAATGGTAACTATTGTTGTAGGCGAACTCCACAAGGGGTAGGTGAGAATCCCAATTCCCGTCAAAGTCGATAACACATGATCTGAGCATATCTTCGAGGGTTTGAATGGTCCGCTCGCTCTGACCATCAGTTTGAGGATGGTAAGCAGTACTCAACTTCACCCTTGTTCCCAACTCTTTCTGTAAGCCGCTCCAGAAATGGGATGTGAATCGGCTATCTCGGTCCGATACTATTGACAACGGTATACCATGTCTTGAGACCACTTCGTCGATGTATAACTTAGCAAGCTTCTCCATAGGCAACGTCTCACGCATTGCCAAGAAGTGAGCGCTCTTTGTCAGCCGATCAACCACTACCCAAATCGTGTCGTGGTTTCTTAGGGTCTTCGGCAGTTTGGTCACGAAGTCCATCGTAATATGTTCCCACTTCCACTCGGGAATCTCCAAGGATTGGAGGCTTCCATAGGGTCGTTGGTGCTCTGCTTTCACTTGCAAACATGTCA